CTCTTTCAATTATAATCAAAGTAATAGTCATTGTGTTCCTGCACACATCTCTAAGAGTGCAGAACTAATGGCTAGCAAGTCTGATGCTAGTTTAGATCTGTTCTCTTACTAGAGTGAGGTCTTATGGATAGACGTAAAATGAAATTGAAAAAATTATATCTTTACTTGGTACGACTCTTGTAAATTCTTCTCGGATCTGTTCTCTTACTAGAGTGAGGTCTTATGGATAGACATAAAATGAAATTGAAAAAATTCTATCTTTACTTGGTACGACTCTTGTAAAGTCTTCCCACTCTTATCATCTTTTACTGTCAAAAAAATAAAGCCCCAAAGATACCTAGTAATTGTTGTCATGCTACTGAAAAACTTAGCATTTGTAAAACCTGTAACAGAGACATGCAATCTTACTAGAGTGAGGTCTTATGGATAGACATAAAATGAAATTGAAAAAATTCTATCTTTACTTGGTACGACTCTTGTAAAGTCTTCCCACTCTTATCATCTTTTACTGTCAAAAAAATAAAGCCCCAAAGATACCTAGTAATTGTTGTCATGCTACTGAAAAACTTAGCATTTGTAAAACCTGTAACAGAGACATGCAATACTTACAGAAGTGTAGCCCTTATGGCAGCTGGGTCTCTGATGCCCACTGGTGACTGTGATCCATTGGTCACCTACAGTGACGTAATTTCACAAATTCTGAAACCATTGATTTTGGGTGGACCTGGAAGGAGTCACTGGGCTCCTGTCAGAGTATGAGCCACAACTGGTGCTTTGCTTCATTTTCATGCTGGTTGTTTCTGAAGAACACCCATCCATGGGTTACACATTACCCTCGCTAGCTCCTCTACTGGTTTATGGAAACCATCTGGAAGACACGAACAGCACTTAAGCTAAATGTTAGACACGTGCTTAGATGATGTCGTTACAGTTTTATGTCTAAATTTGACACCCAATGTAAGTGCCACTGTATCTTGTGTTATTTGAACAAAAACAAGTGATGGAGCTAAAGCTGAGCACAGATACGGCCAAGACCAGATGGTTTTCAAAAGTACATCTGTGATCCTAAATCTACCTGAAAGCTTGCTTTAGAAGAGTAGCCTGACTTTTAAATGGGTTGCTCCTACTACAGTCATTGGCAAGAAGTGGTGCATGAGTGGATTTGAAAATCAGGTCTGTCTTTATAGTAGGTATTTATGGATTTATGTTCCTAGTCTTTGTAATTTTAGTCAGTTGAACTTCTCTTCTGTGAAAGTGTGCAATGCTTTAATTACATACACTGTAAATGCATTTAGTGCAACTCAGCCCCTGATATTGCACAATGTGAAAGAGGTGCTTTACTGACAGAAGAAGTTGTCTCTATTTTTCTGTTGAAAATGTATTAAAGTTTAGAGAAGGCTGTTTAGTTTCTGTTTGGTTGTAGAGTGCTTCACTGAGTCACAGTGATCTCCCTGTGAGACCTTGAGCCAAGTTCACCTCAGTAATCCAGCTTGTTTGATGATGAAAGCAACTATCCAGCTAGCAACTGAGGACAGGCAGAAAGAATGAGATGCTTCAAGAGGACTGCAGGAGAAACCAAGATTAAAAGGTGTTGTGATTGCTAGGAGATAACCCCTGGAAATCTCTTCCAGCTTTCTCTGTTTCAAGGCTTTTTCAGACCTTCAAAGGTCATGGTACTTCGGCTAGAAGCAGCTTCTACCAAAATACTTTTTTCTTGTAGGATGGCTCTGATGTTCCTTGTCTGAAGTTCAGAAAATATTTTTTTATATAGGAATAGTTCAGATAGATACAATCCTGTTCATTAAGAAAGCCTTGTTGTCTGGGCAAGCCTCTTGTTATTCTTCTTCCCAGATGAGATACTTCCTTGTTTGCAAATGGGTTGCCTTGGGTTGTGGAAAGGTTTTTCCTTCTTCTCTCAGTTTACTTCATCCCTTCTTCCAGGAGCTGTTTCTTCTTTCCAGAATGTTTTCATGCGCTGTATGTTCCCGCTATAGCTCCCCATTTGACACTATAGCTGGAAAACACAGATGATGGAAAGAATACTATTTAGTCAAATACTTTCTGAATGTTAAGGAAAAAATTATTTTTCTAGACCAGAGGTTTTGGTGATGCAAGTGCAGCAAACAAGCACAATAAAGACTGTGTGCGGTGGTGGTGTGGTGAAAGCTTTGGGTATAAATTCTTGACACTCC